CCTCTCTCAGATTTGTTTATTTCGTGATGATATCTTCAATTCTCTAATTTTGGTGAATATTTTTGTCATTTTTGGTAAAAAGTGATATTTTTTACTTCTTGTTAAAAACCGCAAGTCCGATTGCTTTGATATTACATATATAGGTACTACATGTGGACCTCTCTCAGATTTGTTCATTTTGTGATGATATCTTCAATTCTCTAATTTTGGTGAATATTTTTGTCATTTTTGGTAAAAAGTGATATTTTCGACTTCTTGTTGAAAACTGTAAGTCCGATTGCTTTGATATTACATATATAGGTACTACATGTGGACCTCTCTTAGATTTGTTCGTTTTGTGATGATGTCTTCAATTCTCTAATTAATTTATTTTGGTGAATATTTTTGTAATTTTTGGTAAAAAGTGATATTTTCGACTTCTTGTTAAAAACTGTAAGTCCGATTGCTTTGATACTATTCATATTGTTCATTTTCTAATGATGTCTTCAGTTCTTTAATTGAAATGTGCATTGCTAACAGCGGAGCTATCTCAGCCGATAGGCTGCTTGTTTTTTATTTTTGAAATAAATAACTCTATATTTTGTTCTGAATTGCCGATTATCAGACTGTTGTTATTACATCACAGTGCTATGAACATCACAGTGTAAAACAATCACGTGGGTTCAATGGAGATTTCCATGTCATCATTGGTTTGTGTGTGTTTATATGTATGTGTGCTTGTGTGCGCATGTGTGCGGTAGTAATTTACTGTGGGGAGGGACCCTAGCCACAACAGGAGGAAATATACACACCAGGGGTTGCTTTTTGCTCTTGAGAAATGATTGTTTGATGGTGTTTTTATTTTCCTTTTTTTTGGAATTAAGATTATTCTATACCTCAACAACAAGATCTATTTAGAATCCATTCGTTTAATGAATTACTACGCCAATCTCATTATATTTGGGCAAAACATAGTCTTCAAAAAGAACACACGTTCTCTGAATAAGCATACGCAATAAACATATACTCGTACGTGTCGTATTTTACTGGAAGGCTAATTGTATTAAACCAACAAAATGTGAGATGCGCACAAAAACGTTTGGAAACCGTATAGTATTGTAATGCAACTGTCAATTACGAAACTGCAAACGTGTTGCGTTGTCTCAAATGGAGACCTAAACTCTTACAATGACAGAATGTAATATGTGTTTTCCTTTACAGAACAGTATTGTGCATGCGTATTCGTAGTCCTAGAAGAAATTCCGATCCAAAATTTAGACAATGTATGGTTTGAACTGACCCATTGCGTTGCTCTGCCAACTTAGCATTGTTTGTCCACGCAGTAAGGATTAATAATATATTTGTATTTATCATTTCATTTTGAGAGAACCTACCTACATGCATCTGATTTCCGGTCAACAATTCTAGAGACAGACATAAAATTTGACACAGAACAAAAAAGAACGACTAACATATAAATTGCACATCAGCAATGCGTTTATCTCAGTGTCCAAACATGCTAATCTTGACATTTACATCTAAATATTAGACAATCCCTTATTAGCGGGGACAGTCTATTATTCTTTATGCTTTAAATTTCAGGTCAGCGTATTTCCGACCAATCGAGTCAGATGACATCTTTGTGTGTTTGTGGCGATGATGGCTCCCAATTATTGTTCATATCTGAAATGTTATTCTCTGATGCTGTGTC